TTCTTAGCAGTGTTCACTTTTACTTGTATTTACATAAAATGTAAATCATGGGTCATTCCAGTGAAGCAACAATTAATTTTAAGTCTGGAATCAGCATCTTCATTGGTAAGGTTAGGATGGGGTGTCAGGCTTATTTCTATATCCAGCCTGCCTTGGAACTATTGGTATATGATATTGTAATTGAATGAGCTTTCATGTTTGATAACATTCCATGTACCCCAGAGTCTGCATTGAGGTTGAGAGAATTAAATCATGATGGGCTTTATAAAGTAATGGGATAAATAAGAACATATACACATTCCTCATTATTTGTGACCCTTTAGGATTTTATGTTGACATAAAAGTCAAACCGCTCCAAACTCGATTGCAGAAAATATGACTTCAGCAACAGAGTGGTCAATGCCTGGAATGCACTACCTGACTCTGTTGTTACATCCTCTGTTGTTACATCCTCAAATCCCCATAACTTTAACATTAAACTGTCTATTGTGGACCTCACCCCATTCCTAAGAGGTCTGCAAGGGGGTGTGCATAAGTGCACCAGCGTGCCTACCTTCCAGGGGTAGGTTCGTGCCAGTTCCACAAATCCACAGTCCTGTTTAGAACCAGTTCCAGCTCCCTCCCCCTGCCCATTCGCACATCATCAAGATGAAGAGTGAGAGGTGGAATTCTGGGAATTGAAGTCCACAAGTCTTAAAGCTGTCAAGTTTGAACACCCCTGGGTTTTTCTCTCCTAAAGTGTTAGGGGTGCAAGGGTCTTGTAACTTGACAGCTTTAAGACTTGCGTGATTCAAATGCCAGAGTTTCTGAGCCAACATTTTGGTTGCTAAGCAAAAGCATTGTTAAGTGAGTTTCACCACAGTTTACAAGTTGGCCATGCCCACACAGTCACATGGCTGGCAAGCCACTCCCACCCGGTCACATGGCTGGCAAGCCACTCCCACTTGGTCACATGGCCGGCAAGCCACTGCCACAAAGTTGGCCACACCTATAGAAGATTTTCTAAAAAATTTTGAAACCCACCACTACTACGGTCCCTGTCCAACTGTCCCCATTTATTCGTACCCATTTCCTGTGTTCATGCCCATGTTTATACTTATACCTGTTATGTCGCACATGTTTGACAAACTAAAATAAATAAATAAATAAATAAATAAATAAATAAATAAGATGAAGTGCCTTACTTAAGCAGTGTCTAGGTGGGTGCTGTGAATATTTATGACAACAGATTGAAGCTCTGAATAAAAATCCTATTAACCTATTTCTATGCAGAGTTTTGGCTTCAGAATATCGTTTTCAAGCTTCGTGTGTAGTGTAGCATTGTACAAATTGCTTTCAAGTGCTACTGTTTGTTCAGTTCCCAACTATAAGAACATTTGAAAATTCAATCTCCTATAGCAGCAAGCAAAGCTTTCTGGAATCTGCCATTTTCAGGAATAATTTGTGGGCTGTTTTGAAAACCAGTGTTATAACCAAAGCCAGTTTATTAAAACTGAAAAAAACAACCTGGAGTCAGTATAATCTTTTAATCAACCACATAGAGTTCTGAGGCATTAATTGCAAGATGGTTTTATTCAGAATATCAAGAAGATAAGTCAATCCCTTTATCCATGCAATTGTTCTTTAATTTATTATTCACCTTGTTGTGCTCAGTGGTTTCTGAAAAAGACCCTTTTTCAGTGTTATTACAGTGATTTGAATTTTTGTTTAGGTTCTATTATTTTCTTTGGGTTGTTGGGATTTAAAAAAAATAGATGATATGATTTCCTCCCACCCCCAAAAATGGGCAACATATGGAACATCAGAAGACCAAGTGGTTGAAAGAATATTTAAGCAGTACATAAAACAGTACTTACCAAGTTATGTGGCTATAATCTTTTATAGTTCCATATAGGCAGGCAGGCAGGCAGGCCTTTATTGTCACTTTTTACTGAGAGTACACTGGCACACATTAAAAATGAAATTCTGTTGCCTGTTCTCAAAAGAAAATATATCTACCCATACACATATATAATTCGTATACACACACACACGCACGTGTATGTGTGTGTTATATAAAGGCTGATGAAGGGAAGGTTAAATGACTGAAAGAATTAGAGGAAACAGAAAGTCTAAGTTGATACCCTCCAAATACAGTAGTACTGTCCATCAAATACTACTGTATTTGGAGAGTATCAACTTAGACTTGCTGTTTCCTCTAATTCTCTCAGTCATCTACTTTCTCTTCATCAGCCTTTATATAATTCTCTGCTTGGAATATATTTGGCAGAAAAGGATGTTACCACAATAGTATCTTTTTTTTTAATGGAGAGATTAAATAACTTTTGTGCCAAAAGGTGATAATATATCATTTAGCTTATATTACGTAGTCTCTGAATTTTGTTTTTGTAACCTGATGTTTAATTGTGTAACTTTTCATTCAATAATGTACCTTGAAGTACCCAAGTAATCATAGCTTGAGATGAACTAGGATGCGCCATATTTATTCTGATCTCAGTTCCTGCTTAAGGAAAAGGTGGGAAATCTTCACAAGCTATATAACTCAGTAAGTAGCACTAGCTCCATTTTTCTGCCTCTTTTCTGTATACAAAAACACAATCACAATAATTTCAGCAATCAAAGGCAATCTTCTGATAGCATGACTTTCTTTTTTAGTTGCTATTTCATGCTGTGTTTCCTGTTTATATATTTGTATGTGTTTTGAATGCCACAGAGCATCAGGTCCCTCAAAGAAATACCACAGAACCTGAAAGCTTTCCAGCTTCTTGGATTAATGTATTTATAATTTGCTTTTCGTGCATGTTAAGTATCTGGCAGACTCCATCTGGGGCCTGATTCAACATTCCTCTTTCCCAGAGATTTTAACTACCTTGAAGTCATTGCTTCAGCAGCAGTTAATTCTCACAGTGTCAGTAGGAAAACAACTATGTATTAACTGGATTCAGAATGGTGCATGAGTGCATGAAAGAAAATGTGCTTTATATCTTGTAAAACCACCTACTGGTCCTATTTGTAAAAGAAAACCACTCTGCTTCTGCCCTCTGTACATTTACACACAATATTGTATACTCATTACCTCATTTAAAGAAGCACTAATTTATAAAACCAAACGGGGTTCTAACAATAAAAAAAAAACACCAAGATCCAAATCATGGTTGGATGAGAAATGTGCAAAAAACTAATGAAACCCCCCTGGGGTGTATAACAATAACAACTGCCTATTATTCTTGAATTTATTCATGAAAAGCAAAAAAGGGAAGTACAAAGCTTTACTCATAAAGAAGAAAAGAAAAGCTCAAAAGGTATATTTGAAGTCACTTGATCCAGGCATCAAAATACCTTCAGTCTCCAGAAGAGCCCAGTAACTTGAAACAACCTTTGAGTCTGATTCTAGAGAACCTTATGGGACAAATTGAAGACCCCATCCATTATATTATATTATTGCACCATAATATTATATTGTTGCACAATAATATTATATTGTTGCACAATAATACCCACATCCAAATAAAGTCAGCTTTTTGCTGTGCTGCCTAGTTCCCAGAATGTTTAAAAGTTGTGTATTTTAGTTCCTTTTCTACTTAATCTTTATGATAGGGTACAAAAACTCACAAATCCTGAACATTATTTGGACCTGCAGACCTATTGTTTTATTTTTATAGTCCGATGATATAGTGATTATCACATCTTCACCTACTGCACCGAGGAGGGCATTAACCTCAACTATTTCTTATTGCCATGACAATGACATATTTATTTCAATAAATAAAAAATACATTTTTCTCAAAATAGTTCTCCCAGATAGAAACATAGAAGGTGAATTAGCATGTTGTTTGCAATGTTATTTAATAAGTTCAGTCCTTTAAATATATTGGAATTTTTTTTGCAGGCTATAGGCACTCAAAAGGTTCAAATTGAACCTTTGTAAGAAAATTTACAAACTGCCGAAAGGTCGTCAGTTCGAAGCCCTAGTGCCGTGTAATGGAATGAGTTCCTGTTACTTGTTCCAGCTTCTGCCAACCTAGAAGTTCGAAAGCATGTAAAAAATGCAAGTAGAAAAATAGGAACCATTTTGGTGGGAAGGTAACAGTGTTCCGTGTGCCTTCCGTGTTTAATCATGCCGGCCACATGACCCCGGAAACGTCTTCAGAGAGCGCTGACTCTTCAACTTTGAAACAGAGATGAGCACCACACCCTAGAGTCCGGAACAACTAGCACATATGTGCAAGGGAAACCTTTACCTTTTTAAGAAAACTTTTTAAAGAGTGTAGCTGCCATCTTAAATGGATGCATAGACAAACAATCATTATGTCTATCACCACAGCAATACTTGCTTTAAAAAGAATTTAAGTTTGTTTAGATTTGGGGATGTGAATTTGGACCTAGGCAATCATAAACAGATTTCTGAGTGTTATTTCCCTTCTCTAACAAATGTGTTCAGATACAGAAACAAATGAAAAAAAATGGTATGGAATTAATCATATGAAATTGTCCTCCAGCTTCCACTACTGTGCCCTAATTCTTTTTTTCCTTCAACATTTAGAGTGTTCATTTCTTTCAAATTCTTTTTTGTTATTTGGGTGGCTTAATTTCTGTTCAAAAGTGGGGAACAATGCTGGTGTTGTGGTTTTTATGTAGCCAACAACTCCATCTCCCTGCAGCCTCCCTGCTGCTGATGCTTTTGATTTGAAAAAGCCCAAATGGGAGCAGTTCCCTTATGAAATTTTCTCTTTAAATTAAATTGAGTGTGAGAAGTTAGGAAGACTAGAGACCATGAAGTGGACATTGTACAAAGAAAGAACAGACATCTTCTAGCAGTATTCAGCCATCCACTGTATCTAAAATAATTTCTTTTTGCTCCTTCTGAAAGAAATCATTTTTGAAGCATGTACAACCTGAATGCCACTATTTTTTTCTTGTCTGCCTACTCAAAAGATCTTTATCTCATGTTCTATTGCATTGTGATAATGAACAGATTGCCTTTATTTTCTCTAGGCAAACTGAAGACCTCAGTAGCAAATCTCCCAGAATCAAAATGAACACAGGTATGCATTTTCATGGTGCAAAAAATGAGCATATTGTTTAATGCAAGTTACAGATGTTTTGAATAACTTTTTGCTAATCTTTTTTCTTTCTTATGTGTGTGCATACAAAGTTCTGATGTATATTCTCTAGATACACTGTTATGTATAAATATATGCATTTATACATGCATATGTAAATAAGCATCTGCATTTCATTTCAATATATTTTCAGTTATTTAGTAAAATATATTGGGGCAAAGAACATATTCATGTACAGTGGCATAAATCAAGACAGGTTTTTTTCTTTAATAGCAAACCATTTACTTTTAGAATGATTTAATTATTGTTTACCTATTTTGTTTAAAATCATCTACTGGAGTATTTTACATATAGTGTGTGAGTTAAATTATATATGCTTTACATTATCACATTTTGGAAAATTATATTTAAAACCTCTTGAGCGGCATGATGGCCTAGGGGTGAAGATGTTTGCCTCCCATTCATAAGGTTGAGAGCGCAATCCTAGGGACCAACAGATGTTTCTCTCTCAGGGCACAAAGACAAAATAGCTGCTCTGATTTCCATATTGGCATCAGAAAGGACATCTGTCCCAATAAATGTTCAGCTCCATTCAGTCACCCAACTCTGAATAAAGGAATTACAGGGTTGTAAAAAGGGAAAAAATTAAAACCTGTCAGATAGCAAATTCTGTGATGGCCACTGATGACCACATATATCTTTTTTTGATCCCCATATACCTTTATTCTGGATAGTATAAATTCTGCAACTTAAGGGAATGATAATGCAGAACAAACAATATCAAATATAATTTAATGATCGAATGCAATGTTTCTCAACCTTGGCAGCTTGAAGATGCATGGACTTCAATTCCCAGAATCCAGCAAGTCTGGCTGAAGAATTCTGGGAGTAGAAGTCCATATATCTTCAAGCGGCCAATGTTGAGAAACATTGCTTTAATCTAAACATAAAACCAGCAAAGAGAATACATGGTCAGTTTCTTGCCTCTCTAAAGAACTCTTTCAAGATTCTGAGCTCTATCAACTGCCAGAAGTAAATTTTGACGGGACTATATATATCACTGAAGGGAATAGATCCAAATATCGTGGCCATATAACCCCCTCCCACAAAGTATAGTTCTTTTTGCCCTCTTCTGTACCACAGTCAGCAAGGAGAAGTGGAAAGAAAATAATAAATATGTAACCAAATATATGAAAAGAAACATATGGTACAAGCAGTCCTTAAGAGTTAATGTTATTTCTGCTGGTTTTGAAGTGCCAAATGGGAACATCATTTTCTATATTAACAATAGAAAGAGTTTGGAGTACCATAAAGGTGAAACCTAGAGATAGCTGATTACCCTAAAATGAATCTTCTACTTTAGACCATAACTGCACCATTCGGCTTTCTAAAGACAATAATTAGAGGTTCAGCTCTGTTGAAATAAGATACAATCTGATTTTGAGAGGAAATTTAATAAATAGAATAGAATTCTTTATTGGCCAAGGACACACAACAAATTTATCTTCAGTGCATAAGCTCTCAGTATACATAAAAGCTTTAAGTGATATTTCACTTGCAGGCCTTTAAGCAGCCACTTTAAAAAAAACAGATCAAGCATTACCTATTTTAAAATCCACACATTATTCCAAAGCCAATTAAGAGTTAATCTATATTATTGAAAGATCACAATGATTCTGTTTGTAATAAAATTAGTGGAAATCCTATTGAATTCTATAACTTGTCTTAAGCATATCCATGAATCTCTCCTATCAAAATTAAAGGGATACACCAAGGCTAAATGATGCCCATCTCTTAAACTATTTTTAAACAAAATAAATGTTCCATTTCTCTCAGAGTTCCCTATTATATTGATGTGAAATAAACAAAATGTTCAAAAGTCATGGTATCTATGGAGTTACTTACCAAGCACATCTAAATTATATTAAAGTAACCAATTTACTTTCACATTCACCAAGGCATGTCACAACTTTTGAGCACCCCTAATGTTTGCAAATTTGAAAGCTGAAAAATTTGACACACCCAGTCCAATAACATTCAACAACAACACTGAACATTTGATTTCAGTGCCATTATCATTAAACATTGACCCAGCATCTTACATCTTTTCAGCATATGCTAACCTTTATTTGAGATGTTGCTCTAGTTATGAGGCACCTGAGCAAGCCTCTTACTATTCATTTAAGGCAGAATGAAACACTCACTTTTCCTATTGCCCAGGAAAAAAATGTATGTAGTGTGTAACATATAATGTTATGATTAAAGCAAGATTCATGCACAGCTGTATATCCAGATTTATCAAGTAGGTGAAATATTCATTTTTATGAATTGATTCTTTTTTAATCATTGTATATCATTTGAATCACTATAGACATCAATAATTTGATTCTAAAATATTTATTTTTATATGAAATAATTAACAACTATTTATGCATACTCAAGGAATACCCAAAAAGGCTTAATGTAAACTATTCAACTGCAGATCTGAATTCCTCAACCAATTAGCAAAAGCTTGAAAATTCAGCCTCCTTTCTCTGGATTCCAGAACAAAAACATTTTACTCATTAAAAAAACTGTATATAGCTGCAGAATTGCTTCTTCCATTCCATAGTAGAACAAATCACTTTTAGAGATTTTAAAAGCTGATTTTAAAAAATCCCTACAATGCTACTTGCACAGTGTTCAGCAGAGATAACACACATCCACAATCTATAAATAAATATTCTCTCACCAGACGTAAGAAGAATTCTTGTCTTTAACTTTAATGAGATTAAACAGTTTAAATCCAAGTGCATCAATTTAAAGTGCATTTAAGTGGCTGGGTAGACCAAGCTTTCCACTTATCCAGATTCCTTCTAAGAACATAACATTTCAAATAATTTGGGCAGATTGTTTATATGCAGCCCCTTTTCTCACATAGATAATGAATGGCCCAAAGTTAATTTGCTTAAATGGATCTTTAGTGTCCCTCCATAAATTTTAGGCACAAATGTACAAGGATAATATTATGATAAATGCATCTCAGTTTAAAATGATTTAATAACCCAACTGCTTTGTAATAAATGAAAGACATAAATACAAACCTGGTTAAAAACAATTACAGTCCTTGGAGAGTGCAAAAATATATGAGGTTTAACTTTGTTAATATTAAATCATCATTATGCAGAATTGTTACCATTTATCTTCTATGCGCTCAAAACATATCAAAATAAGCTACATGTTATATGCAATGCTGAATAAACAGTTTCTTTTCAGAACAGTTCCTAAGCTTAGAATAGCATGTCCTAGACACTCAGCATTATTATTTCAAATACCAGCTATTTTATTCTTTCCTGGAATGGATAATCAGAATCTTCCAAGCTTTCTTTGATTTTTGAATGTTTGCATGCCATCATATATTTAATCAACCAAACTGGATTTCCTTTAAATTCAGTAGGCCTGCCCCATCCAATTATCTTCTCCTTATGCACTATTAATGGCTGAGTAAAATCCAGCTGTTGGTTTTACTATGAAGTGTATGGGAAGCACAAGCTCCAAATCTCAGAGTGTTTGTAATATATTTCTAATCATTGCAAATTAAATTCAGAATTTGTCCTTGTAATAAAATCACCAAGCATGCAAAACATAAGCCCACCTGTGGTTAGATGTACTGGTTCACTCCTTGTGTTTCTACAAAAAAATGGACTATGCATGCAAAAGACCCTAGATCAAAATGTCAAATGGGTTTGAATGCTTCTACTACATACTGGTTTAATAGCAATAGCAATAGCACTTAGAGTTATATATCACTTCACAGTGCTTTACTGCCCTCTAAGAAAGCTCTCTAACTCTGCCATTTTTAGAATAATATTCTTCCCTAGGGGGCTAAGCCAACATGGAGGGGAGGACACTGCCAAACCTGATATTACAACTCACAAAGTTCTTTGCGATAAATGATACATTCCTGCATTTCAGGCACATGGAATGAGTTTCCGATTTATTTTTGTTCACCTAAAACAGAGCAAATGTACACAAGAATTAATAGAATTTTAAAAAGGAGATTAACTTGGAAGATAGGGATCTTATTATATCAGAGAACTAGTTTTATTGGACTATTCTGGCAGGTGAATTGAAACTGTTGTACAATGATAGCTTTCTTGTACAAATGCAGCCTTCATATTGGGCAATATGCCCTAAATTCCAAGTTGAGTGAGGATAATAATGTTGCTAGGATTGGTTTGTTGCTTTGACTTACTTTCCTCACTGCCCCTTTTCTCTTACATTAAATCATAAAATCTGATTCATGGTGTGTTGGAGTGATCTTTGCTAGTGTTACCTGATCATTCTTAGTTTGAAGGTTTCCATTATTTTCAACTTACCTTCAGGTCTTTTAAAACTTATGGCAGCATCTTAATAAACAGCAGGCAGGTTGACAACTATGCTTTTGTATGCCTGTTTAAACTGATCAACTGCTTCTTTAATTATTTTTTGGTGGGATGGGGAGAATAATAATTACCAAAAGGGGGAGGGGGAGGGGAGTTAAGTTCAAGATTTAAAGTCAGCTTATAAATGCAAAATCTCCAAGATTCAAAAAATATTTCCATACATAAATCCTCCAGTAAATTTTGATTAGGAAAATTCTTTCCCACAGTTTCTCCAATTACAGCCAGCACTTTCTGCCACATTTGTTTTTGTTAAGTAGTTCATAATCCCTGGTAAGACATTTCATTGCACTTTCTGAAGAACTAAAGGGGAATTTGCTCACATCCAAATTCTAGCATTATCACATCCCCCATAAAGTACTATCAATCAGTAATAGTTTCAGCCTTTCAGACACTTCCGAAGAACTTGAAGCAGCCCAAAGTCATAACTGTTTCTCGCCATTTAGGCAAAGGCTGTAGTGCTTCTAAAATAAGCTGTGTTTTTTCTTAAAATGAAAAAAAAACCCCTTCTTTCCAAAACTTGTTTCCAAAAATGGGGGGGGGGACTAAAAAAGCAGCTGTGCCCATTTTCACCTTGTTCCTTGTAATTCTTTTATGTACAAATACCAAGTATGCCCCACCCAACCACCAAAAGGCTACTCCCTTTCAGGTAAATTAATGTTAAATGGTTTCTTTTTTCTTTCTGTTGGAGCAGGAAGATTGTTAGATGAAGGCAAAATGTTACTTGTTCATGTATTTCTGCCTTCAGTAAATAGTTCAGGTTATCATTTTAATAATCTGAATCAATATTATACTTGTTTTTTATTTATTTATTTGTAAAATTTATTAGCCGTCCAGTCTGTCACACAGTAACTCTGGGCAACTAATAAGATATTCAGTGAGGGCCACATACTACTTTCTAGTTCTGCGTTCTCATTAGTTCCTTATTTTGATGTGTCATTTTTAATCCTGCCTTTTAGTCTTTTTATTTTTGTGGTGAGTTAGGTACACCCAAGTGATTTTTCAAATACTGGAAAGCACATGCCTAAATCTCTTTGGCTGGTGTATTCTTTGGAATGGCAGTATTAATTAACAACAGCTTCCTCAACCTTTTGGTACGTATGTACAAGTATCTAGGGATCAACCACAAATTCTAACTGCATGGATTTATGTCCACATTTGCATATCTCAGTAATCTTCACTTTGTACATTGCATGCGCTTGCATTCTACGTCGTGGGCTTGTGCCTGTGTCCTTTTCTGCTTTCAGATAGTGGTGGGTGTGCTCGCAAACGTGCTGCCATGTCTGTCAAACTAACAGCGGTGAAGAGAGTTCAAAGTTCTCCAAACCTTTTGACCGCAGGTATAGCTGTTAACCATGGAATGCCACACTTCAGTATCATTGTGTTGTCTTTTATACAGTTTGCAATAGAACGGAATATTGGAAATGATAACCACGGATCCTCACAATTGTTATTGTGATGAATCTGTCATTTCATCACTGTTTAGCGTTTTTGTTCTAATATATATGTGTATGTGTATGTGTGTGTGTGTGTGTGTGTGTGTGTATACACACACACACACACACAGAGTGTGTATGTATGTATGTGTGTGTATGTGTGTGTATGTATGTGTGTATATATATATATATTTATATATACACGTACATACACACATACATACATACACACATACATACATACATACACACTGAATGTATGTATGTATGTATGTATATATGTGTATGTATGTATGTGTGTGTGTGTGTGTGTATATAGATATATATAGATATATATATAGATATACATACATACATACATACATACATACATACATACATACATACATACATACATAAAAACACACACACACACACAAACACACACATATATGCTGGTCTTGTTGTATTTGGGTCTTTTCCCGTGTAAGATCAATCTTACAAAAAGAAATTCTGGATTGACCTACTTTACTCAAATGTAGACTGTTATTTCAGAAAATAAATGTTAGCCAGAAATAAAAGCAAGCACAAATGTTCAGAATAAATGTGACATTAAATTATATTTAAATGAAAATTAGATGTAATAGTCTTTGTTCATCAATCATAATTGGACTAGCAACTCAGTTGTTAAGCAAAGCATTCACTAAGTGAAACTGCTCCTGTGCTTACTGTCTTCCTTTAGCTTTCCTTTGCTTTGCAGACCTTTGAAAATCATAAATGGAAGGATTGGTTGCAAAGTTAATTTTTTATCACTGTCACAACTGCAAATGGTCACTAATCAAGGCAGTCATTAAATAAGGACTATCTTTATTAAACAAAATGAGCTGAATTAAATTGTTATCAATTATTCCATTGTAGATAATGTTTCTTTGTATTATTAAACATTCAATTCTACTACAAGTTTGGTAAGGGCTGTGAACTGCACATGCTATTTTGAGGGATCGTGTGAGGTGCTAAGGCCATAAGTTGCACATCTGTAATGTAGAGGCTTCCTTGAATCTTCAACAGAAGCAATTCAGGCAATGATACTTACTAATCATGCTGAACCATTGATTGAACTGTAATTCTGCTTAGCCCCAAGCAATTTTAAGGAATTATATGAGCAGAGCCTCTAATTAGACCTCCGTGAGAGTTTCCCATTCAGGAAAAAGGAGGAACACTTACCCATGCCAGGGCATAGTATTGCCCATGACAATTGAAAAACAAGGGCATTGTAATATTTTAATAAATAAACTGGTTTAAGTCAACTGTACCAAATTAGTAATATGCCCCCTCCCCAAATTTGTGTGCAGAAGTAAAATGTTGTCTTTATTTTTTTTCCTACTTTATAATTCTCTTTGCTCATGTAAAAAGCACTCTGTGTGCAATTCCTTATTGAAAAAGTGTAGAAGACAATAGGGCAAAACTAGAAAGTAGCTTTCAGGTTTCAACAATTTCACCTATCTGAACACACTGTAACATTTGTCATTATTCTCAATGCCCTTTAGAACATTGGATTGAAAGGTTTTCCCTCTGGCTGGTAGAAATCATAAACTAGATTTCAGATATTAACAGCTTTTAGCAATTAAATCCAACCCTTAGCTAAATGTTGTCACAAAACTGTCAACATAGAAAAATGAAATGTGAAAAATGAAAAACATGTGATAGCAAAATGGCAAAAGCCATATGTGGAGTCATTTTGTTACAAACATTCAGAAACAATCCTGAGTTAAATGCTTTTTTTAAAAAAATACATTTGATAGTAGCCCAGAGAATTTAATCAGATGAATTATATGAGATGAATCATATAAGAAGATTAATTGTAATTCTGAGTGTAATTGAATCAAGCCACAGGTATTGAGTTACTGTTCTTGTAGAGTCTTAAACTATGCATAGGCACTAGAAAGGAAGATAAATTCCAATAAATCAGTGTGTGCTAAATACATTATAGCATTGAGAAAACACAATGCTTTTAGTACATAAGCTTTATTGTTCAGCTGCTTTAGAGGGGTTTAGTACATCTTTTGCATAATTATGGTTAATTTTTAAATTAAAATTAATTAATTAAACATATAGTTTTAAAATGATTTATACAGAGAAAGATATTACAGATTAAGTGTGATCTTGCCAAAATACTGTCAATGAAAATGGAAAGAGCCTCTAGCTCAGCATTTCTCAATCTCAGAAACTTTTTCGGCGTTTCTCGATCTCAGCAACTTTAATATGTGTGGACTTCAACTCCCAGAATTCTCTAGCTGATAAGTTACTGAGGTTTGATAAACATTGCTCTGGATCATTTATTCTTTTGTTTTTCATGAATGTCCCTCAAAACATTGCTGGGTCTCATGTATTTTTTTTTTTTTTAGTAATTTGTAATCTACCTAGAGAGTTTGGATTTTTAAATAGAAGTATAATAAATATTAGTGTTTAAAATACCGTAGTAATGGGTAATTTTTTAGACAGACATCAATAGTATTACTCCTGACACCATGGAGGTAGTTAAACCCTGGTTGATTGCTCAGTTTTGTATGCGAACTGACAAGTGGAATAGGATATATATGAACCAACTTGTTGAATTCATAAATAAAAAGAGGTTTGGGCCAAGCAAAAATAAAAATCATCATAAGAAGTTATTTTGTGCTGGTTATTTTCATATACAACTCACTGAGTTCAGTGAACGTTGTACACGATAACATCAAATTATAATATTTCTAAAGTGTACGTTTGGTAAATAAATTTCCCTGAGTGTCAGAGACTAAAACAAGTTGTAAGAATCCTAATCAAACTTCCCATATATTAACTTTAGTATTTACTCTTTCTAGGACTTGATTCCCATTCACCAGACTCAGGTAATTTTTTTAAATAAATTAACTAAAATATTGCATGTGTTTGTATAGGCATCCATAACAAAATGTCTGTCATGGCATTTCATTGACGCACCATGAACATACTTCTGCCAGGATATACATACAGAAGGCCAGGATTTGTGTTGTCACAATGCACAAGTTTTCATTTTTGCATCATTACAAAATTTGCACTGTATGTTGTATATATATTGAATAAGCAAGGCATACTTTTAATCTAATACTGTTCTCCTATAAATATAACTAAAGTTGAGAATGATCTTACCATGGACAAGAAACCTTGTGAATGTGTGACCATAAGCATTCCATTTTATATTACTGAAACTTTCCCTTCTACTTCTGAGTGGCTTGTGATCCAGTCAATTCATCAAGGAGGAGTCTACATTTACACAGAACATTGATCCACAATATTTGCTGACTCTATTTTAGCTAATGTGTTAGACCAGAAAATTGGATCCATTGAGTAAATGAAGCTAGGTAAATTAATCCTGCACCAAAATGTCATGTAAATGCAGCCAGTAATTCCAGCACAAAGTGGCTGATACATTGTTGTTATTAGAAAACAGTATAAAACAAAAAAGAATTCCATTGGTTTAGAAGGTAACTATTTTATTTTTTAGCAAAAACTCTTGAAAAATTTCTTATAATTGAAGATACAAACTTTTAAAATAAGCAACTTTGGGATTTTTTTAAAAAAATGCCATTGTCCTAGACTTATTTAGATTATATATAATCTAAATATTGTGTGTGTGTGTGTGTGTGTGTGTGTGTGTGTGTGT